AATTTTCTATAAACTCATTCCACAGGAGTGACTCAATGCGTTTCGACGCATCTGTGACCGACAGACAGAAGTTGATTGGTGAACCAACATTTGCTGCATGCTTCGCAAAATAATCGGCTGTTTCATTGATTGGTATACCGACATGGGAAGGTGTCCAAACAAACGAGATTTTAATTAAATGCGAATTAACTATTTTGTTTAGAATATTGTACACAGTGAAATTGTGAGATGTGTTGTTTTTAAGCAGAAGACAAGCATTTTTGCTGTCTGTAAATAAAGCAGCTGTGCTGACACCGTCTTCGATCATCAAATCAATTGCCTTTTCAATTGCACATAGTTCACCAGTAAGAGAAGAAAGTTTTTCATTAATTTTGAAAACAAAATTTTGATTAGCAGATATATTGCAGACAGCGCAGCCTGTGTTGTTGTTAAAAACAGCAGCATCCGTCGCCCAAATAGAAACGCCTTCGGATCTGAAGTCGTTAATTAATTCGTAGTAGTGTGCTTTGAAATATTCTGTTGGTGTATTGTTTTTGGTAGTATTAAATATATCCAGCATGAAATCTACCTTGTTGGTCGGATGTTGATTGTAACCAATTTTGAGATTTTCAAAAATTGTGCGAAACTTTGTATAGACATATCCAAGACTAGTTTTTCTTGAGGTATTTGAGGTGAAGTATTCATACAGAGAAGAGTTGTATATTTTAAGTCTTATCAATTCTTTAGCCGCCAAGTGTTGAGCTCTTAAATCTGTTGGTAGCATACCAGCAAGAGCGTATACCACATGATTTGGAGTGGAAGGCACCAGTCCCAAATTTTTTCTTAACAACTGATTTTGAAAGCTTGTTAGCTTCTTGTTTATATACATTGGTCTGTGAGCCATCGATGAGATTGCATATTCGGTCTTTGAAAAGATAAGTGATTTTGACAGGTTTATAGCTTTTGCGGGATGAATTCCACTTTTTGGACCCGTGACCATTTTTAAAGCATTAACAGTATTTCTGCAGGATATCATCACCTCTTCGTAGTGCTCCTTGAGTGATAGACTGTTTTTAATATGTCTCCCTAAAAATTTGATGGACTTAACAACATTTACTTGGACTCCATTTAGTAAAATGTTGGGATTTCTCCGACCTCCTTTAGCCACGTACATTACTGAAGTTTTCTCAACATTGACGTCAAGGTTTAGTTTTTTTAATAAGGATACCATGTTATTGGTTTTGATTTGTAAAATATTGTTGGCACTATCAAAGTCATGGCTTGCCACAAGCAAAATAAAATCATCCGCATATTGGAAAATGTTTGTGTTTTCATCAGCTAAACCATGGAGGCCTATTGTGTATAGGTTGAATAGTGTTGGGCTTAAACAACTGCCTTGAGGGATCCCATTGTATATATTTAGGGTGGAGTTTCCCATACAAAGAGTCCTTTTGCAGAGAAAATTGATTATCCATAATCTTATTTGGAGTGGAATGTTTATTTCTATTAAAATCCTCTTCAGGTAATTTATATCGACACACTCATAGGCTTTCGATACATCCATCGAGAGAACAATCACCTTGTCATTTTTTTCTTTGGAGGTGTTTATTGTGTGTAGTATGTCATTAATGCATGTTGAAGTTGACACATGTTTGCGGTATGCATAAGATCTAGGTGGAAGAGTTTTATGTTCATCTAGAAAATCATTGAGCCTTTGTTTGACCATGAGGTTTAAAATCTTTGCCAGTACAGATATTAAAGCAATTGGCCGAAAATTTGTGCAGATGTCTAAATTTTTTCCTTTTTTCGGTATGGGAACAATTTTTATTCTCCTCCATTCTTCAAAAAACTCACAGTTTTTCCATTGATTATTAAAGGAATTCAAAAGGTGCTGCTTACTATCTTGGGATAGTTTATTAACCATTTCATAAGTGATTCCATCCAGACCAGCTGCAGATGGTTTAGTTTTTTGCTGTAGAACATTGTCTAGTTCTTCCATGGAGAAATTTGCAGATTGATTGTTATAAATTGAAATGGATATAGTTTGTCTGTTGTTGGGAACCTGTTCACTCAAATGACGTAAGAAGGCTTCGTTGTTGTCAGTGTTCCATTTAGAAGCAGATTGGGGTTCGAAAACCGATTTACAGCTCTTTACATAACGGAAAAGCGATTTTGAATTAGATAATTGGCTTAAATCTGACAGTTTACGACGTTTGTCGCGATTTTTGGCACATTTTACGGCTTTTTTGAATTTAGATATAGCGTTGATTGCACTCAGGGCATTTTCAGTGGTTTTGTATCTATCAAATTTCTGTTCTGCGGCCTCTTTTTGACGTAAGAGTATGGTAATGTCATTATTCCACCATGTTTGAAATTTTGTTTCAGCAGTAATGAGAAAAGTTGAATTTTTTATTGTTGATTTTAGCTTCGATTGAATATCATTCATATTGGAATCAATTTTTAGATTTGATAAGTTTTTGAAGAGATGTTTTTTTGCTAGGAAGTACTGTTGCTTTGATGTGAAATTATCTATGTTAATAAGGATTGGTCTGTGGTGGCTTCCTCCTATGCTTGTATTTTTTACATTCCAATTAAAGTTTGAAGACATATTTGTGAAGGTAAGATCTAACACAGAACCGAAAGAACTGTCAAATAGATTCTTTTTAAAGGTTGCTGAGCCATCATTAACACAACGAAATGCCGAACTGTCCATCAAGGTTTGCACAGTGGATCCTCGAACTGTGTCAAAAACGTCACCATATGCTTTACATCTTGCATTAAAATCCCCGCCAATAATGACATTTGATTTTCCATTTAGAAAGATTAAAAGTTTTGATACTTCAGTTTTTAAAACATTGGATTTTACAGAATGCGGAAAGTATACTGAGACAATCGTTAAATTTTGAGACAGGTTTGTAGTTTGACATATTAAGATGTCTAAATCCGATGCAAAAGGTAATTTTTTCATTTTAATAGTTTTTTTGTGCAGGATGGCAACGCCACCATAATTGTCGATTCTTTTTTTACAGAATAATCCATAATTGTTTACGTAAGATGATGATGCATTTTCATCTACATTAAAAATTTCGCTTAAGATGCATATATCGACAGAAAATTTGTTTAAGTAAAGTTCTAAATAATTTTATTTTTATTCAAACTTTGTATGTTGTGCTGTAAGATTATCATGTTCGGTTTGGTTAGAACTGGAAGGTCCATCTATTGCTGGTGCTTTTAAGGCATTTGAAAAACTGTCTAAGATCTGTAATCCTTCTGTACACTTGGCATTGGTTAATGCGGCAGCCATTTGTTGAGTGAAAGTGGATAATATTTTTTCATACTCAGAAACTTTGAAAAAATTTGAGAATTCAAAGGATGGTTTAGAGGGTACAATCGTTTCCTGTTCAGCTGTAATATGTGTTCTACGAGGTATTGATGCTGCTACTTTATTGTAATTGACTTTAGTTCTCCTTCTGTTGAGTTCATCATTGAAGGAAGTAACTGGTCTTCTGCTTGTTTTAGAAATTTGGGGAAATTGATTTTCATAATTTGGTTCATCTAAAATTTCAAAGTAATTGTTTGAAACTTTAGGGATACATTCTTTCCTTGAAAGGTTGGTGATTGCCATAGCCTCCAGAATATTTTTTTCATTGCTGTATCTTTTGCATTTTTTGACATCCATGGCATTGTGATCTTCCATGTTGCATAGTATACATCTGGGTAGAATACAGTATGTTTTGCATTTAATTGTCGACAAACATGTATCACATTTTGGCTCTGTGCAGTTTGTGGGACATTCAATGTTTATCCCGCAAAGAAGGCATCTTTTTTTGGCTCTACATTTTACGGCTATATGACCTAAACGACCGCAATTTTTACATAAGCGTACAAGTGGAATATATAAATCCGTCTCCACTATAGAGTTGAACATTTTAAGTTCTTTTACAACGTAGTCCGCTACAATACCTACTTTAATGGTTTGCGACGGCACATACTGACCATTTTCATTTTTGTATTTGAAACGATATACTGATACAGCTTTGAAATCATTGTCGCTGCTGTTGATTTGATCATATATCATTTTGCCAGTGAATTCTACTGGTACGGATTTAATAACATAAAATTTTTGTACAAATCTATCTGGGATAAAAGCATTCAAACCAATAGATTTTACATTTGGATCCAAAACAAAATTATTTGCCGAGTTATAATTGTTGAAGCTCAGGCGGAAGGTTTTATATGCAATATTCTTTGATACAAAATGAGCATTTATGTTGGCACTGGCTAATTTGGCATACAAATGTAATTCTGAGTTCTTTCTTCTAGGGCAAATGGGCTCATCAGAAGTAAGAAGTACATAATATGGACCTGGATGGGCTGGGCTGTAAAGAATTGTTTGGTTTTCATAGTTATCATAGCTGTAAATATCTGTTTTGTTTGTGTTTTTGGGTATATTGGATGGATTGGAGGGATTGTTATTGTTGGAGTGACAGTTGTTAGTTGTGTTGGTGGAGATGGACTTTGTATCATTAAAATATTGATTTTCATATGGTGTGAGAGTGGTGTTTTCTTTTGCTGGTGTTGTTTTTGCAGAGCACTGCGGCATTTTATTTTGCATAGAAGGCTGATTATTTTTAAACTTCTTGCTTCCAGGGTTGCTAAAAAGCTCAATTCTTTTCCTCGGGTCTAAACGAGGAGGCGGCTCCTCATCACCCATTTTCGCAGAAAATTGTATATTTTGTTGAAATTAGGAATATTAAATTTCAGCAAAATCACCAAATAAAATAATGTTTGTGTTATTGGTTAGATGGAAGGAATGTGTGTATTTGTGTGTGTATTGGTGTTCAAAGCAAAACAAACAAAACGCATAAAAAAGAAAGCGAAACGGCGCGCACGTAGTCTAAAGTCAACGAGAGTTGAGAGACGACTGTAGAGGCATTTCGTACGATAATATCGATTGAAAGAACTATCAATCATTGTTCCCCTTAACATAAAGTATCGATACTATCGATTTTGGCATCGAGTGTTTGTCACCACTACTGAAGCTAAATACACAATTTTTTATTTTCATATGTGGAGGAAGGAAAAGATTTTAAAACAAATTTAATAGAAATCGGCAGAAGGAATGTAAAATTTAAATATTTGTTCCACTTTACATCCACAATCATATGACCACTTGTTGGATAGGTATTTTCATAAGCTTTCCAACGATACCCATATTGTGGATCCGGGTCTAGTCGGGGTCTTGAACCCGGACTTTCGGGTCGAAAATCTGGGGTCCCAGGTCCGTCCCCCAAGAAAAAAATAGTTTCCCGGGATCATGGTTAAAATACCTACCACTGAAAAAATTTTCGAAAAAATTTAAGAGTTTTTACTAAACTAGAGTTAAGCCTAAAATACATTCATATAAGAAAAACATATATATAAGAAAAAATTGACAATTTTTGAAAAGGGGCTTATATGCGTGTTCTACTGTACATGTTGTACAGCGTTGCCATCAATCCTGGATGCCCAGGATCAATCAATCCCTGGATGTCTAAAGCAACAGCTGTCAAAAACTCATGTCAAATTAGTAAGATTGGCGCCCGCTCTGAAGTTCAAAGGAACAACTCCCCCAAATGGGTGTCAAAGATTTGTGGACAGTACTTACTCCTCACGCCGAACGCAAGCCCATAAGCGAGTTGAGAGGAAAAATCGTTGCCATAGACTTGGCTGGATGGGTTTGTGAGAGTCTCAATGTAGTAGATTATTTTGTACATCCCAGACATCATCTAAAGTAAGTTGCGGGTTTTTTTAATGGTTCCATATGTTTTAATTCTATTTTTTTCAGGAACTTATTTTTTCGTACCTGTTATTTAATATGGGAAGAAGTGACTCCAGTTTTTGTGCTAGAAGGCACAGCACCAAAATTGAAAAGTCAAGTAATGGAAAAACGCAATGAAATACAATTTCGAGGTGTACGGCCAAAGGACAAACCGCCGCCAAGCCAACAGCCGGTCAATTCGCAAACATCAAATAAAGGTGGCGAAAAGGGAAGATCACGTTTTAACATGGTTTTAAAGCAGTGCGAAAATCTTCTCACCTCCATGGGCATACAGTGTGTCCAGGGACCCGGCGAGGCCGAGGCGTACTGTGCATTTTTAAATCAAAAGGGGGTTGGTGAGTTTTAGATTGAAATTAGGCCTTTTAATCATATCTTCCTGATAGTTGGTAGATGGTGTTATAAGCCAAGACTCCGATTGCTTTGCCTACGGTGCTGTGCGTGTGTATCGCAACTTTTCGGTATCATCTCAAGGCGCTTTAGCAGCACAAGGTGGGGCCGTAGACATATACGATATGCGTCAAATTTGCAGCAAAATGGGTGAGATTTGAAGTACAATTTAAATGTATAAAATGTATTATGAATAATGTATATCATGTAGATTTTGGACAAAACAAAGTAATCGTCATGGCACTATTATGTGGCTGCGATTATTGTCCCGATGGAATTGGTGGCATTGGGCGTGATAGCGTGGTTAAACTTTTCAATAAATACAAAAATGATGAGATATTAAACAAGATACGTTGTTGGCGTTACGAAGATTCAAAATACTCAGCACTGGAAATGAAGGTAGACGATAAGAGTATATGTGCAAACTGTGGTCACATGGGACGAACACAAAGCCATTCAAAGAGTGGTTGCGGTATTTGTCGTACCAACCGAGGATGTAATGAAAGTCTTTGGAAGTAAGAGACAAATTCTTTATTGGAGATGAAATATGGGATGATATTTGTTGTTTCTTTCAGAGAAGAACGTTTGTCTATAAAGGCGGAATTGATCCTACGAAAAAAGGCTTTGTCCGATCCTTCTTTTCCCTCTGAAGCCATAATAGAAGAATTCCTAAGGCAACCAAAAGAGATTCCAAAATTAGACCTCCGTTGGCGACAACCAAATATGGTTAAATTTATAAAACAAGTCGGACATCTTTTGCAATGGAAAGAAGTTTATTGTTTTCAAAAATTCTTTCCGATTTTAACAAGATGGCAGGTTATGAATGCCACCCGATTAAAGGAGATGCCAACGGCCGTTGTTTACGTTGCACCCAAAGAAATTGTTAAAAAGAGAGTGGTAAAAGGTATTCCAAGCTTAGAAATTATATGGCAAGATGAAAAAGGAATATTCAATGGCCTGGTGCCTGAATCACAATTGCAAGAGGTTGAGTCGGAAAATCCAAAAGGAATTTCTGATCTTTGGACAACTGTGGAACCAACGAGTTTGATGGAAACAGCATTTCCCGAAGTGGTAGATGCTTTCCTCAAGTCGAAGGAAAAACCCAAGAAAGCCGCAAAGAAGCCAAGAAACAAGGCAAAACACTTAGATTCCTTGGATAATTTAGATGACTTAATGAAGGCTACTGATGAAGTTGCAAAAACAATAAAACCCAAACGTCAAGCGAAAGCAAAATCTGCCACCAAACTAGGATTACAACCAATTGATAAGTATTTCAAACAAGCTAACGACAAGAACCAAACACCCCTGAAGAAAGAAAAATTATTAATGCAAAACAATCAGAGCTCTACTCCACTCACCAAAGATGTTCCTTCTGATTTAGAAAGTGATGAAGATATTGATCAAAATGCATTTAACCTTTCCGATATTGTGAATGGTATTGTGGCCAAAGGCCATGATCCATTTGCTTTAACACACCATGAGGGACGTCAATTACAATACGAAACTATGCCCCAAGATATTAGCCTTTTGCTAAATGATTTCGACAACTCTTCATTCCAATTAAACTCAAGCCGTGTTCAAACAAAATTATCCATTGATGATTTGGATGTGTTGTGTGAAAAACGTGTCCTATCCACATCTTTCCAAAACTCCACAAATGCTGAAGCTAAACGCAGGTCGTTGGACGATAGCTTCGATATACTAGTTAAAATTGGATCCAACAGAGTTGAGAAAATTAAAGATTTGAAAATATCTACTGAAAGTCTCTTAGACCTTCCTACTAAACCTCTGAATGTAGTGGATCGCTTCAAACAAAAACAAAGAATAAGCTTGAATTTTAATACAAATAATAGTAGTATCATTGAGAATGACATTGGGGATTCCAATGGCGTTAGCTACTTTTTCAACAGTAGTTTTCAAACAGACAATGAAGATGTATTTGAAAAGCTTATGGAAACTAGTTTGGCCAAATGTGATGTGGGCGATCAGGACAGTTTGGATGAGGGAGAATTTGTTCTGTTAAGCGATTAAATTGTTTGTATATTTCGTTTTTAATTTGTATTCCTAATTAAATTACATAAATAATCTATAGATAATTTAGCTTAATTTTACAATAAAAAATGTTTTCAAAATCCTAATATTATGATTTACTTGGAAGTATATCTTCGATCACTAGCCTTACCTTGAAATAATACTCTTCTTCATATATCAAATCATGTGTCTGTATTTATTTAGAAATGACCAAAAACCAAGCTATTTTTGTTCCATGAAATTTTCCGTAGCGAATTCTTTTTCCAGACGTAGGTATTTGTACCCTGATTCCCGGAAAGTTTTTTCCTGGGCGGCGGACCCGGAATAACTAAACCGATATGGACAATATAGGTACCATTCAAAAGCTAATGAAAATGCCTATCCTACAAATTACATTATTCAAAACGGTTCGGGAGTTATAATAAAATTTTATAAATTTTAAGTATAAAAAGATTACTTCGCGTATCCGCTGTTAGACTACCTAAAACAATTTCAAATTTAGAAAACTTAGAGGAGAAAGTCTCAAGCTCTGGCAAAGGCCATGGTAGAAAAATGCAGGTAAATGCTTCAACGCTTAGGAAAATTAAATGTCAAAAATTTTTGAAATGCTTTGTTTTAAATATGTAGATTTTTATATGTTTACCTATACGATGCAAATCGGAGGATGTGATGATATGTATTTTTCAAAAATTTTTACAAATTTCAATAACTTTTCATTTTACATTTGCATTTCTTAAATCGTTTTGAAATTTCATTGTTCCAGCAGCTGTATCAATGCGACTACCTGTATTCTTCTACCATGATTTTGGTTCAAAGACTCATATCTTTTGATCCAGGAAAGTAATCTCATTCTTATATTATGCTTCATATAGTATAAGTTTCTCTCTCTCTTTTTCTCTATTGTGTATTCTCATCATCAATTTTTCAGGTTCTGGAACAGCTCAATAGTATAGTAACTGTAGTAATGCCTCAGTCCCTGCAAGAATATAACTTTTTTTAAAACTTGCCTATTTTTTGCTGGGTCTGGAACAGATTATGTGGCGTTTCCACTGCACTTGATTCGCTCTCTATTCGTTGTTTGACCCTTAACTATGAAAAAACTACTTAATTCTTCACACAAAATTTCCTGAGCGAACACTCATATTTGTACGTTGTTCAAATCAAATCACTCTCAGAACAACGAAAAAATATGTCCCATCCCTAACAAATGAGAGCATTTATCGAAAAAATAAATTATGACATTTAAAAATTAAAAATAGGAAAATTTAATGAAATTTTAAAAATTTTTGGGAAGACTGAAAATTATGAATGAAAACTACAATGTTGAATGGCGTATGTACATTCAAACGAAAGTACATTTTGTTTTCTCTTTCATCCGAGGTACGCATTTTGTCCACGAGTAGAAATTTTCACAGAAAACTGCAAACAAAAGAGGCAATATTTTCAAAATGTTTGTATTGACAGAAAAAATGTTTGACAAGTGTCTCTCCAGCAGAATTTAAAAATAGAAAAATACAAAAATATATTCAAAATGTCAACATTTACACAAACAGTTGAAAACGTGAATGAAAATTATAAAATTATTGATATAATAAATCTTGGGGAGAAAAACAATCATTTATTCTATTCATATTAGTGAGAATTTAATGTAATTTATTAAAATTCCCATTAAAATCAACAAACAAAATTTTTGAAAAAAGGAATTATTTTACTATGAATTACGAATCGTGCCGTATGAACGGGTTAATTCGTGTACCTAATTCTGAGAGCGAACAACGTTGTTCGGTTTCCAATGGAAACATGTTATGTGGCGTTTCCACTGCACTTGATTCGCTCTCTATTCGTTGTTTGACCCTTAACTATGAAAAAACTACTTAATTCTTCACACAAAATTTCCTGAGCGAACACTCATATTTGTACTAAGTTCAAATCAAATCACTCTCAGAACAACGAAAATGTATGTCCCATCCCTAAAAAATGAGAGCATTTATCGAAAAAATAAATTATGACATTTAAAAATTAAAACTAAAAAACTTTAATGAAATTTTAAAAATTTTTGGGAAGACTGAAAATTATGAATGAAAACTACAATGTTGAATGGCGTATGTACATTCAAACGAAAGTACATTTTGTTTTCTCTTTCATTAGAGGTACGCATTTTGTCCACGAGTTGAAATTTCCATAGAAAACTGCAAACAAAAGAGGCAATATTTTCAAAATGTTTGTATCTGCAGAAAAAAATGTTGACAAGTGTCTCTCCAGCAAAATTTAAAAATAGAAAAATTCAAAAATATGTTCAAAATGTCAAAATTAATACAAAAAGTTGAAAACATGAATGAAAACTGTAAAATTAATGATATAATTATTCTTTGGAAGAAAAACAATAATTTCTTCTATTCATATCAGTTAGAATTTCATGTATTTTTGTATAAATTCCCATTTAAATCAACAAACAAAATTTTTGAAAAAATGAATTATTTTACTAAGAATTACGAATCGTGCCGTATGAACGGGTTAATTCGTGTACCTAATTCTGAGAGCGAACAACGTTGTTCGGTTTTCAATGGAAACATGCTATTATTATCTATTGTTGTTTAGTAGAGGCATTTCGTACGATAATATCGATTGAAAGAACTATCAATCATTGTTCCCCTTAACATAAAGTATCGATACTATCGATTTTGGCATCGAGTGTTTGTCACCACTACTGAAGCTAAATACACAATTTTTTATTTTCATATGTGGAGGAAGGAAAAGATTTTAAAACAAATTTAATAGAAATCGGCAGAAGGAATGTAAAATTTAAATATTTGTTCCACTTTACATCCAACTGAATAAAAGCTTCACAACAATCTGAAAAAATACTGATTATTGATCGACAAGAAAAAATAGCGTCATCATGATGGCCAGACGCGGTGGCAAGCGTATTAGGATGGATGATATCCCGCCCGAGTACGAAGAGCAGGGGTATGTTGCATTTTATACATTTTAGAAAGATAAAAATATTAGAATATATTTTTCAGGGAAAACGTAAATGATTCAATTTCGGACGGCGATAGTCCTACAAAAAGAATGACAAGATTGCGTGCCCGGGGTGGTGTCCGCGATAAACCCCCAATTATCGACGAAGACGAGGATGACTTCTGGGCTCCGGTTGTGCGTAAGAAAAAACAGGAAAAGCCAAAGAAACCACCAGGTGAACGTCGTGAAAAGCCGGAACGCCAACGCAAAGAACACATGGACAAAGAGCAAGAACGTATCGATATGGAGAGGGATGTAACAACCGACGAGAATAGTTTGTACTTTATTGTTCGCCATTCCAAATCTCCCATTATGAATATCGTCGATGATTGGATTGAACAATATAAAGTTAATAGGGATACTGCTCTTATAGCCCTATTGCAATTTTTCATTAACGCCAGCGGCTGCAAAGGTAAAATACCCGAAGATACAGAACATCCCATGGATCATACAGCGGTCATCAGAAAAATGACAGAAGAATTTGATGAGGTAAGGAGATTGGTTGTTTAAAGAAATTGCCGTTTTAAAGTAATTTGTTCCTAATTACTATTTAAGGAAAGTGGTGAATATCCCCTCATAATTCCTGGTCAACAGTGGAAAAAATTCAAAATGAATTTTTGTGACTTTGTTCAAACTTTGGTCAAACAATGTCAATATTCGATTATATACGATCAGTTCTTGATGGACAATGTAATTTCCTTGCTTACTGGCTTGTCAGATTCTCAAGTAAGAGCTTTCAGACATACGGCTACTTTGGCAGCCATGAAGCTTATGACCGCTTTGGTTGATGTTGCCTTATTGGTATCGAATAATTTCGAAAATGCAGCCAAACAATATGAGGCTGAACGCCTTAAGGTATTGTATAGAAATATGATTAATTTCCGATTGATAATAAATTATATTATTTTCGTTAATGTAGTCTCGTGATCGACGTGCCTCAGATCGTTTAGAGTCGTTAATGGCTAAAAGAGCAGAGCTGGAAGAGAATATGGATGAAATTAAAAATATGTTAACATACATGTTTAAATCTGTATTCGTACATCGTTATCGGTAGGAGTCAACAAATGTACAAATTACAATTTGGTAAATAATATATATAATTGAATTTTTTAGCGATACGTTGCCCGACATTAGAGCCATTTGTATGGCCGAAATTGGAGTTTGGATGGAAAATTATCCCCAAAACTTTTTGGATGATTCTTATCTAAAGTATATTGGTTGGACGTTACATGATAAAGTCGGAGAAGTACGTCTACGCTGCCTACAAGCACTTTTGCCTCTTTATGACAAAGAGGAACTTAAGAGTAAATTGGAATTGTTCACATCAAAATTTAAAGATCGCATTGTTGCAATGACTCTGGACAAAGAGTTCGAAGTTGCCGTACATGCTGTAAAATTGGTCATAAGTATTCTAAAGTAATTATTTTATAAATGTATTGCGTTCTCTTTTTATCATATTCTTAATTTTGTAGGATTCATCCTGACATCTTGGCTGACAAAGATTGTGAAATCGTTTATGAATTGGTGTATTCCTCGCATAGAGGAGTGGCCCAGGCAGCTGCAGAATTTCTTAATGTACGGTTGTTTCATTTAACTGCTGACATGGAAGAGACCAAATCCAAAAGGGGCAAACTAAGGCTTCCCAACACCCCTTTGATACGAGACTTGGTGCAATTTATGATTGAATCTGAATTACATGAACATGGTGCTTACTTAGTAGATTCATTTATGGATAATAATCCCATGGTAAAAGATTGGGAATGTATGACGGATTTGTTGCTAGAGGAACCAGGATATAATGAAGAAGTTCTGGATAACAAACAAGAATCGACGTTAATTGAAATTATGGTTAGCAGTGTTAAGCAAGCAGCAACTGGCGAGGCGCCAGTTGGCAGAGCTAGCAATCGCAAAATATATCTCAACTCCAAAGAACTAAAAGCCATACAAGATGAAAAAATAAGACTAACGGAGCACTTCATTGTAACATTGCCGCCATTGCTGGAAAAATACCAAGCTGACAGTGAAAAACTGGCAAATCTATTGTCAATACCACAGTATTTTGAATTGGATATTTACACTACAAATCGCCAAGAGGCTAATTTGCAATCTTTGTTGGATAAAATGACCCACATAATGTCGGTGCATACAGATCGCGATGTGTTGGAAACCTGTGCCAAAACATTGGAATATTTGTGTACAGAAGGCAGTGCCACGTATACACGGTGTGATGTTGCCCGTTCGAATATCATCGACAATGCTGTTAATAAATATAAAGATGCTATCGAAGATTGGCGTAATTTAATTGCAGGCGAAGAATTACCCAATGAAGATGACATCTACAATATTATAAGTTCTCTGAAGGTTGTCTCCATCCTGTACTCTTCTCATAACATGAATCCTTGGAATCTATTTGATTCCCTATTTCAAGACGTGGATGAGTGCCAAGCAAAAGAAAATCCCGGTCGCAACATTCCTAATGAGGCATTGGTGTATTGTATAGAGGCCTGTTATTTTTCTATAAGTTGGGGACTGTATTACGTTGAAAATAATTGTGAGACATCACAGGTTGAATCGGCGGTTAAGGAGCTACGAACAAACCTTGATAAATATATGTTTGCCTGTTTCGAATTGACACGAGATGGACCTACAGATGATGTGCAAGAAGCGGTAAGTAGATGATGGCTCAAATATAAAAATCATTTAGCAATTTCTTATATTCTATTGTTTTTAATTATAGGCCTACCAATCAATTTGTGATCTGTTAATAATATTTTCGGATCAATTAGCCCGTAATGAAAATCCTAATGTCCGCACATTGGAGTACAAATCCACGTTGGATGAACAATTGGTATTGAACAATTTCGTACAGCACTATGTCTTCACGATAAGACAAGAAGGTACTACATTTACGATAGTTACTATAATTATAGTTTGTAACTCAATGCAGATTCTATTTCCACAGATCTTCAGGACGAGACTCGTATAATGGAATTGCATAAGAAACGTAACTACTTAGCGTCCTACTGCAAATTGGTGGTTTACAATATAATACCAACAAAGAGTGCTGCCGGAATGTTTAAAAACTATGTCAAGGTAGGTTATATCACATAATGCTGCAATTTGTTCATAAAAATGATTCTGGTTTCTTTATCTTTGCAGTGGTATAATGAATATGGAGACATCATAAAGGCCACCCTTGGGAAAGCTAGAGAAATCAACAAAATTAATTTTGCATTAACACTGCTTTTGAGTCTTATTGCGGTCTTTAAGGATTTACAAAGCCAGTCCGAAAATGAATTGGTCTCAAAGAATTCTCATGAATTTAGTGAACTTAAAGAGTTGGCCAAACGATTTGCGCTGACATTTGGTTTTGATGCCATAAAAAATCGTGAACCAATTATTGCTCTACATCGTGCTGGAATTTTATTTGCAGTCGGTGAAGTACCCGAGGATCCAGTGGCAGCCCCTAAACGCTTGCTTTTCTTAGAAGTTCTAAATGAGTTTAATCACAAGTTGTTAAAACAGGATAAGAAAGTGATTTTGAATTTCCTGGATCGTCGAATTTCACCAGCCCTGCCTTCAAGTAAACAAGAGGAATATCAGCCATTGTTTTTGTATCGTAATTCTCTGGTGCATGGAGAAACTGATCAAGCTCCAGTCAGTTCAAAGCGAGCTTACGCCCGCAAGCGGCGTGGTGATCATGGTGAGTTAGAAAATAGTGTATACTTTATGAGAAATTATCAAATTCATTTGATTTTTTTAGACGATGAAGAGGATGAGGACGATTACGAAGATGAGCACAACGATCCAGATTTCCGAGGATAAATATCCCCATGCCTTTGGTATATTCAAAAGTCGTAGTAGGACACGTAGTGTTGTAATTTTAAGCTAAGCGTGTAGTTCACCAATTATGTAATAAAAAAACATTCATTTTTCTCGACTCCATTAACTTTAGTTTCCATAAACCTGATAAGTTATTGTTATTAAGTTTATTAAAAATGAATAAATAAAGTTCTATTTTACATTGTATCATGAGAAAATATATTAATGAAACTTCAAATTATTTAACAAAACATAAAAAAATGTTTTCACAAATTAAAACTCCTATAGACTAAATAACATTTCACAAACTATTTTGGCCAATATTGTTCGGCATATTTGTTGGCTTTTAACATGGCCATTTCTAATTGTTCTTCAAATTGTGTTGAGGTTTTCTTGCCTTTCATATTGCAAACGTCATGGGGATTTTGACCTTTTGGTGCGGATACCTGAGCTTTAAAAATCGAAGCAAATTCCTTCAACCATTTTTGGGCATTAAAGTCTTCCGTTTGGAATTCCTGTAAATTATTAAAACATAAGAAAAATCATAAGGAATATTCCATAAATTCGTTACCTTAGGTACACAACATCTGGCCTTGACTATGCCATCGGCCTTGGCTATGACCAAAATTGGACGGTCTGTACAATGTTTGGTGGCTTTTTGCAGTGGTACCTCTTCCATTAAAACTGAACTTGAAATGTAATGTACTAAATAAGGATGTTTAGCAGCAGGTTTCTCTTGAAGCAGATTTCGCATTTCAACATCCAAAAAGTCTCTGAAATTAAAAAAAACTTAAATCTTGTGGATGTGCTTTCTATTCTATTCATACTTAATATTAGTTCGTGCAGATTCCTTAAGACATTTCAGAATGTCGTTTATGCGTTCCAGAAAATCCATTTTAAACACGTAAGGTAATTGAATATCTGTGTGGAGTAAATTATGTCGGATCTTTTGCAACTCAACTTCTGTGGCATTGGACATTTTATCAGTCTTGAACTCTTTCTCCAACATATCAATACGATGTTTCAGCAATTCACTCACTTTGTGGACCTGCAAAAAATAATGAAATATATAAAAAAAATCTACATTTTTTAAATCAATATCCATAAATACCTTATCTGCCGCCTCCCCTGCGACCGCTGTAAAGGCATATCTGGCACGATTTGTTTGCTTGAGGTTTGTCACGGAAAATTTACCCAATTCCTTGGTGTTTGTAACATGTGTTCCACAGCACAGCTCTTTTGATTTTAAATCGAAATTATCACAATTAATAGTTACCAAACGAAGGCCAGTCTCGGGATATACCTCTCCAGGAATCATTGTAACATCATTTTGTTGTAAAATATCTGAAGCATTGCAAAGTTCAATATTCACTGGGGAGGCCGAAGAAATGATACGACTAAATATATATACAAAATACTTTTCATGAAACTAAGAATTCTGACACTACAACTTCTTTACCCTACCTTATTAGCTCCTCAATTTTCGCCACATCATCCTTGGTTATGCGTTTTCCTATTATACCGACTTCTAGCTTACAGCAGTCACTGGTTACCGAACTTGATAGCTGATATGTTACTTTGTTGAATAGAGCTCTAATGGCACCATTTAATAAATGTGTAGCTAAAATAGAATCAGTTTTAGTTTTTAAAATGTTTTGAGATAACCCCCTCCATAGTTACCTGTGTGATGGCAAATATTTCGCTTCCGATGATTTTCATCAATTTGAAGTAGCACACTATCACCGGTCGCCAATGTAAATTGAGAACGTTCTTTAGGCAGTTCACACATGTGAACGACACAATCATTTATGCAAACTACATTCACAACGTTAAGTTCTAAATTGTTATTATTTATCGACTTTACAACAATATGACCCCGATCAGATTGCTGACCACCCGATTCGTAGTAAAAGTTACTTGAATCTGTTATAATGGAAACAATGTCATTGGTATCAGAGACTCCTCCATTACACACGACTTCATTAACACTGACATCATTGTACAAAATTCCCAACACTTTTGATTTTAATTCGGGTATAATATATTTGTTATCCTCGTGGTTGTAAGTATACGAATATTTGTGATTATTATCTGTAGCTGGCAAGGATTTTGTCAATTCTGTCAACGAATTTTCTATACTTTTGTAGTAGATACTCGAATGATCGTTCAACATCATTGAATTCTTAGATCTTTGTTTGGCATTTGCCACTGCCTCTTTATAGCCAACCGTATCATATGTCATGTCTTCCAATTGGGCTAGTTTTATGAAATTTTCTTCGGTTAGACCATATGTATCCGAGAGTTTGTACAGAAAATCGCCCGGAATTGAATTATTCTTAAATGTATGTTTTACAGATTTGAATTCACGATATGCAGGCACAAAACCAGGGCATTCCATCAAATCAACATCTTCTAAATCCGGATATTCACTTAGAACTTCACTGAAAGCCTTTGTAGAGTTCTCTCTTAAGCTTTTGAAAACTTCTTGCTCGTGTTTTATTAACTCCAATATATCGCTTTGTTTACTCTGTATTTCGGGATAGGCGGAACCCAAAGTTTCTGCCACAATTGGTATTAAATGGTGCAAAAGATTTTCATGAACAAAAATATTTTCCGAAACGGTTATGGCTTTGCGCAGAACACGTCTTAATTTTTGGCTACATATTAAAAAAAATGTTTTATAATAATATCTAAACAATAAATATTTCCCATACTCACTTCTGGTCCGGCAGCATTCCATCTGCCAAACATACTGCTATCATTCTGGCATGATCTGCTAGAATTCTATAGCCTGTATCTAAAGTTGCACTGTTGCTGCTAGTGGGAAATGAACCCGAGTACTGAGGTGCTTTCGATATCTGTTATTGTGGGGTAGCATAACTTTTTTTTGTAAATTTAATTTAAAGACATTGATTTACTTGCCTTTTGTATTGTATTAAATATTGGCATGAATAAATCGGTATCGTAATTTGACGATTTATTCTGTAAAATTGCTGTGAGTCTTTCAAAGCCCATTCCAGTGTCGACATGATGGGAGGGTAATTGCGTAATAGAACCATCTTCATTTCTATAAAAATATAAGATAAAATAAATTTCCACGCTTTACCTTATCTATATAATATATGCAGATATTTGTTGGTGTGTCATACCTATTATATTGTATAAATACCAAATTCCATAGCTCGGTCAAATCAGAACGGCCAGCATTTACCAATTTAGCCCTTTCTTCCGGACTAGCTAAATCAGGTCTATGATCTATGTGAATTTCGGTACAAGGTCCACAAGGACCTGTGAGACCCATTTCCCAAAAGTTGTCCTTGCTACCGAAAGGTAGTATTCGAGAATTAGGAAAACTGTAAAGGAATTAGATAAATTTCTCCACAACCGAATATTGTTTTTCTACACACCCCAGACTTCGCCATATATCAACACATTCTAAATCTGCCGGTAAGCCTAAAACTTTATCGCCGGCAAAATATGTAACATATAGCCTTGATGGATCTATTTTATAGGGACCTTGTAACAATTCCAAAGCCATTGCACAAGCTTCACGCTTAAATCGAACAAAAGAACTCAAATAACTTTTTTTGTTATAATCAAAGAATTGACCAACCTTGAAGTAGTCACCAAAAGACCAATTCCCCAACATCTCAAAAAAGGTGTGATGATATCCATCCTCCCCAACAACTGACAGATCATTATGTTTACCACCAACTCGTACACATTTCTGGGAATTTGTAACCCTTTTGTGTGGTGGCTGTGTCTTGCCCAGAAACACTGATTTGAACTAATAGACATGTAATAGGGAAAATAAAACATAAAACCACAATAATTTTGGTTCATCCTTTCGTCGCACCTGATTCATTCCGGCATTCACAAATGATACAGTTGGATCGCAGAAAGGCACAACAGGACTGGATCGCACAAATTTATGACCATGATTATTAATGAAAAAATCAACAAATGTTTTTCGTATTTCTCGCGAGGATAATACCCTTTGCAATTTTTTGGCAGAAGAGTGCATCCTTTTTTACAAAATCCTCCTAACGATTAATATATAATATTCCTGCGGACTGATATAATTTTCTTCCAAAAATAAGCCGGTGTAAAAGGGGAGTGCCTAAATAAAAGCGTTCTAACATATGTTGGCAAAAAAATTAAAAGCGTACCCATTGTTCAATTGCACAGGGTGTCATCGATGGGCAAGAACCAGAACACTAAAAAGGTAAGGTAGAGCTACCAGCTGATTACATTTTTTTCTGAGTGTGCCCGACTTCTGCCAATTTTGTGTATGTATTTATTGTTTTGAAAAATAAAAGCAAAATATTTTCAAAGTAAATGATTGGAAGATATATATATTTTTGAAATAAAATCCAGTCACTTAATTCATCTTTCGCTTTATTTAAGTCATTTAAAAAATGAAGAAAAATGTGAAATAAAAACAGCTTGTTACATATAATTTTGAATAATTCTGATAGGAAGCGGGCATAGCCTCAGTATTTCTATAATTTTACGAAGCTGTTCTATCTTCTTGTTGTACCATGGGGAAAATTTTGTGGGATTTTTAATGGGATTTTAACTATCGGCTCAAAATCGGAATATAATTCATTTATTGCTCTGTTATATATTGTCCATATTGAGTCTTGGACCCGGAAGTTTGTAGCTATGATTAACTTTTTAGTATCGATAAAAGAGCAAAAATAGTAAAAAAAACAAGCAGGAGATTGTAGAAGAGAACAGATATTTTAAATATGAATTATATGTACATTTTTCCAGAACATACAAGAACCTAAAGCGGAATGAAGGGGAAGCTTTTGTTTTAAACCATGGCAGAAGAATACAGGTAGTCGCATTGAAACAGCTGCTGGGACAATAAACTGTTAAACCAATTTTGAAATTAAAAATTATGAATGAAAAATGATTAAAATTGGAAAAATTGTTGAAAAATACATATTATAATAACCTCCGGTTGGTCTCGTATAAGAAAACTTATAAACATCTTTTAATTATTGAAAAAAAAAACATTTTTAAAAATTTTGACATATATGTTTATTACCAAGAGTCATCGAAAACGATTTATTTCTTTAATTCTATACCCCACCACAACGACTTATAAAGCCTTGAATCGTCTTAAGGTGCATATACATAGAAGGCTATTTTACTAGGCTTACGACATCTAAGTCAACCTAAAACTCCTTTTTACAAGGTCTTGAACAAAGCAATTGTGTTGTTTAATAAAGGCACTGCATCCGATAATATCGATTGGAAAAGCTATCAATCGATACCCTCTTAAATTAAAGTATCGATGCTATCGACATTGCTATCGATGATGGATCTAAACAAACAACAATAAACATGTGCGACGAAAATCCGAAGGAAGAAGGAGTCACAGGTTCACCGGACAATTTGGAAGCTGAAAAGCGTCCAGCTTTTGGAAATAGATTTTTGACCAATCAGGATGATGTTTTTTCCCATAACGCATGGTAAATATTTAAGAAGTTTAGGCAACTTTTTGTTATACAGCGTAGCAAAGAGGCCATTATCTAAACTCCCCTCTGACTTGGAGCTCACTCGCCATCGCAAGAAACCAGCTGGAGGAGGAAGAATATTAACAAATAAGTCAATGTTTAATGAATTTAATGCCTGGTATTGACATAACAACATCTAACTATAGAAATGAATTCTATTTATGTTTCTCTTTAGGGATAATGTGGAATGGGACGAAGAGCAAGAACAACATGCATTGCAAGCCGTACAAAAGAACTCCACCGTGAAAATGTCTGACGAAGACAAAGCCAAATTTAAAGGCGATGCAGACAAATTTTGGGATTGCTTCTATGGTGTTCATCAGAATAGATTTTTCAAGGATCGTCATTGGTTGTTTACAGAGTTTGCTGAATTGGCTCCCAACAAAGATATACAAGAAAGTAGAAGTATTTTTGAACTTGGCTGTGGCGTAGGCAACACTATATTACCCATACTTAAGTATAGTAAAGAGCCAAATTTAAAGGTATATGGTTGCGATTTTTCTGCAAAGGCGATAGACATTTTCAGAAATCACCCAGAGTTTGATGAAAAACGTTGTGAAATATTTGTCATGGATGCGACATTGGAAAATTGGGAAGTGCCGTTTGAACCAGAGTCACAAGACATAATAGTTTTGATATTTGTTTTGTCTGCCATTGAGCCTGGCAAAATGAAACATGTGGCGGAAAATTGCTATAAATATCTTAAGCCAGGTGGTTTAGTGCTTTTCCGTGACTATGGCCGTTATGATTTGGCACAACTACGTTTCAAGAGTGGAAAATGTTTAGAGGATAATTTCTATGTTCGCGGAGATGGTACCATGGTGTACTTCTTCACTCAAGAAGAAGTAAGGAATTTATTTACCGGCGTTGGATTTAAGGAAGAACAAAATGTTATAGATCGAAGGCTGCAAGTCAATCGAGGACGTATGTTAAAGATGTATAGAGTTTGGATACAAACTAAATACCGAAAACCTAACGTTTGACAATAAACTAGTACTAGCTTTAGATTTTTTTATATTTGTGTAATCCAATTGAATAAAGGACGTGTGCAGAAATGTCATAATCTGCGGAAATTAAAACTTGTGTTAATATAGTTAATATAAATAAATAAAATATAAATCTCTTTTTTTGAAATGGACATAAACAGAGGCAGAAGAAATTTCGAAAATATTTCGATCGATTGAAATTTCCATCTAAAATAAGCATACGGAAAATTCACTCAGGAGGTAACATGGCGCAATAACAAGTGCTCTGCTCCAGAAGTTATTGGTCTGTTCCAGAACTGCAAGAATGTAAAAATTTTTACTACGAAAACCGATATGATATAACCTTTATGAAATCGAAAAAATTGCAAAACTAGTGCATTCTTACTGGTTTTGAAATAGAACATATGCTATTATCATGGTATAATAATATTGGTAGATGCATCAACGCTTGGGAAGATTGATATGTCAAAATTTTTAAGATGTTTTATGAAAAATAAGTGGATTTTTAAATGTTTTTTTATATGACGCAAATCAGAGATTGAATTTTTTAACAATTTTTACAAACTTTCATAATTTTTCATTCAACATTTTCAATTCCAAAATCGGTTTGATACTTCATTGTCCCATCATTGTCCCAGCAACCTGTATTCTTCTACCATTTGAACTCCAAATTACGAATGAAAAATTATTTAGATTAGTTAAAACTGTTGACAAACACATATCATAATCACCTCTAAATGACATTGTATAAGAAAACATTCTGAAATCGAAATTTCTCCAAAAACTTTTTCATATTTTTGCTTGCCAGTGTGACATTTCATTCATCAGTCATCATGGTAGAAGAATATAGGTAGACGCGTCGACACAGCTGCTGGGACAATGAACTGTCAAACCAATTTTGGAAATGAAAATGTTGAATGAAAAATTATTTAAATTCGTAAAAATTGTTGAAAAACGCGAATTATAATAGCCTCTGAATGACGTAGTATAAGAAAACATATAAAAATCTACTTATATTTGAAAAAAAAAAACATTTAAATTTTTTGACATATCAATGCTCCAAAGCGTTGATGCATCTACCTGTATTCTTCTGCCATGTCAGTCATTGTAAAGAAATATCTGTTCATTTCAATAAATCGCTAACAATTCACATGTCAATTATGAAAAACTCCTGTTTTCTCTGTGTTGAATAATATAGCTCTTTTTCCTTCTTCTCCTTTAATCTGAGTTCATGTTTTCAAGCTATTTTCAATGAATGATAATGTGTTATCTCATCATTAATAGTTTTTGGCTTATGCCATGTTTACGTTAGAACTTTTTGTAGGGTTAACCTACTTTGAGAGGATTTATTTGAAGTAAAAGTAATGGATATGACAATTTAAATGCAAATCCAGTGGGTTAACCCTCATGTATATAAACGTACTGTTAGTTTCATGAAATTTTATTTTCATAAGAAAACTCGTATGTAAACGGTGTTTAAGTCTATTCGATTGTAAAAAAGTAATGATTCGATATTGTGTCAATATCGGTAATCGTAAAGTAACGATAGGTGATAGTCGATCTATATATCCCTACTTTTATCCAATTTTTTATTTGTACGTGAACGTCGAACGTCGCGAAGTGTGCAAGAACGAGATCCTCCGACGGCTGCACAGCCCGAAAAACGAAACCCGATAACCGATTAATCATCAATTTTCCCACTTGTGTGTGATTGTTGTTAAAAAATTTCCACAGCATAAATATTTATTTGTGAATCTGCAGTGTTATGTGCGAAATTGATTAAAGTAAGCAGAGCAATTGTTTATTAAGTAGAAACATCAATGTGCGCCGAATGGGCCTGTGAAAAATGAGGAATTGAATATGGCCAATACATAAAATCCACCACAAAAAATAATGGTACTGGAAAACGGTGTCGTCTGCAAGTAGTTTTTTTCTTGTCTTCTTTGCTCGGGAGGCCCCTTGCAATATAGTCTGCTGCTTGAAGTTTTGTGTCTACACATATTGCAAAAACTTTTTTTTGCTGAAAATCGCTATTGATTAGTGCAAAAAAGTGTTGGAGTGTAAATAACAAAAAAGTGAAACGTTGTTTATTAAACCAAAACAAAACGTGAAAGCTACAATAACAACACGACAACAATGAATAGTGTTAATTAAACAAATAGAGTTATACATACAACACCCATTTTTCAACGAAAAGAAGCTGCTAAGCAGACGAAGAAAGAGTAAACAATCTTGGTTGTTTTGCATTTGATGATAGATGAATAATAAGAAAGGGCACGGAAAATGCAAAGGAGAAAAACAAATGCATTGTGTGATTTATTGATGAAAAATATAGAGAAATAAAGAGTGTAGTGGAATTGTGCAATTCTGGTGCCCGATGTAATAAAAAAATAGCTTCGGATTTTAACGTCGCGTCTTTTGATTACTTTTGTCGTCAACAGAGACGGAAGAAGAATATTGAGAGTGATGCACTAACGTTTAGGATATTCAAAAAGTTTGGGGCAACAGATCTTCGGACTTTGAAAAATTTATCAAGTAGCATTTTACTAATATTAGAGCTAAATTCTTTTCATTAAAAATCCATTATAAAGTTCTGCTGAAAGAGAACACTTTTGTGGTACAAAAGAAAAGAGTTATATTGAAGTCTCTTTGATTTCTCATTGCATTCGAGAGATCGTTCTTTTACCTGTCCCATTCCATTTCATGTTCCTACCTAGAAGCCATCATTAATGCCACACACAAGTCATACATTTTACCTGTCTGCCCCTTTCAAATTATTCTTTATGCCCTATCTCTTTTGTGTTTTTGTTGTTTGCATTTGAGTATTCGGTTTTTATTATTAATCATTTCTTACGTTTTTTATCTTCCGTCTCTGTGTATGAGTGCGCGTTTAATCGACGACCCCGAGTGTGTGTGTGTTTTTGTGTTCTTATGTATTTGTGTGCTACTACATTAAACTTTTCTTCAAACAAATTGTTGATTTAATTGAATTTCGTTTTTTCATTGTATTCCTTCTTCTTTGCCTTATGAACGTCTAGCTGACTGGCTGACTGACACCCTGCTCTCGACAATACCGCAAACAAACGATCATAATCGAGTCATTCATTTTTAAGTGCATAAAATAGCCGCTCAGTAATATTTGTTGTTGCTGCGGCTGCTGCTATTCTGACAAATACATAACAGTGTTGCCAACTTGTTTGTGCTTCCTCAAATAATATAGAAAGAGAGGGAGAGAGAGAGAAAAAATACAAACGTCAGCTTGCAACAAAAAACCAAACTAAATCAAAACAAAACATTGAAAAAAGTGTCTGCTGTAGCCTACCAAATTTTGGGGATTACGACAGCAGCTCTCCCGAATACATTTCTTTTTTGGTGGATTACATTAACAATTTGTAAAACTGGCGGAGGAGACGGCAGAAAATTCCAACATGAGTTGGGGTATTGAATTATGGGTAAGTTTGGAAATTGATTTGTGTTTTGATGATTGATTGTTTCAATTTTATTGTGTAGATATGCATTGGGAAGAAACATGTCAATATTGAAGGCAAACTATTGAGCTAAGAAACAGCATTATTCAATTAACTTACCAAAATCCAATTTGGTGCAACAAATTTATATCAGTTAAAAAATTAATGGATAGGGTATGGAGCAAAAAAAACTAACTTAAAAAACATTGATGTTACACAATCCTGTCCTTATCAGAATTCAACTCCAATGGCTTACACTATATATTGGACAATCGTGGGGTCGTATATTGGCGTATACGTCCAGTTATCTTCGATCTACCAATCTAATTGGAACCGTAGGTTTTCAAAAGAGAAGTTGGAAAGGAGTATATGTGCACATGGTGAATGAGAGTAGAATTATGTGCAGTATTTCAGGCTCACTAGAGAAGAATAAGAAAAATAATTAAAGGCAGAAGGAAAGGATCACTAATATAGGACATTTGAGGTATTGTTGTGTAGCAAAGGTATTGGAAAGCAGTATTGAATCAAATAATGAATTAATTGGCTAGGATATCTGGTAAAGACGTAAGACATGTAAACGAAAACCCAAGTATTACTCGGGTGCTAAGACTGTCTCTTTTGTTGTGTTCAGTGATCCTGCTCTGTTTATTCCATTAGGAGAACTAATTGAGCCAATGTGTAGGCAGTTTATACACAGTACATCAGTTAAAATAGCAATGGTGCATTGCCTAACACAGGCGGATAGGGCATGATGTTTCGAGACGATGTCAGATTTTATCTTGGAACATTAAATACACATTGTAAGTCCATGCGATCTGCTCTTTCATTGTTTAAAACAGTTCTTCATTATAGGGAATATCTCAATTTGCAAAACGCCACAAGCGCTAGGAAACATTTGGGTTTTCCAGTTTTTAACGGCCTTCAACAACCTTGTATCCCACCGTATACGCATGCATACCGAGCAGTATTGTGAAACTAATGACAGCTCCCAGATCCCAATAACATCTCTACACTCTTAGCGTCGTGTTTTGCTTCATCTCACCGGAGGACAAACTATTATAGAAGTAATTAATTCAGATTACGGCTGAATCTTCGAAGTCTCTATTACCGAAGAAATTATAATCTGAAGGTTTATCTGGAGTCCTTTTCAAAAAAGAACACATTTTCAGGGTCTTCTTTCATGGCAAACCACTTAAATGGCCAATAAGAAAGGTCTTCCTGCACTTTATAGGTCATCCTGAATGTTCTCCCACGTTTCAGTTTAAAATGTCGTTTTTAGAAAAAATCTAAAATTAGAACATTCAATTAGAACGAAATTCGCTGTAAATCTGCAGATTGTGTTCCCGGTGGACGGAAAAGTTTTTTTGCAAAGAACTTTCCAAGTGGAATAGATCCCATTTTACCTCCCCATATTCCGTATATAGACGATTTTAGACACATTTTCGAGGGAATTTTCGCTAAGTTTTTGGAGATCGTAATGGGTTCCAAATTCTGTAGCAAATACTTGTCTATCTAAGACTAAGTTTTCCTATAGCTCCTACATAAGGGTACCCCATCGATATTCGGAATTTGGATGATTTTTGGCACACTATTAAACGGAATTTTCCCCAAGCTGGTATTTGGCGTTTGCAATGGGTCCCACCTTCTGTGGCAGATAATTACCTTTACGGGCCCACGCGTATAGCCCCCATATTACGGTAACCCCACGATATTTGGGGGTTGACTTTGACTTTTGGTACATTTTCACCGGAATTGTTTAATTTAGTATTTGGAGCTCGTTCGTATTCCAGTGCAAGTTTCCGTATAGACCCCATAAAATGTTGCATCCGAATATTCGGGATTTGAACGATTTTTTGCCCAAAATTCAATAGAATCGTTCGATTTTTGGTATTTGGAGCTGTCAATAGATACCACCTTCTCTGGCAAATGAAAGTCTATACAAGGGCCAAGGGGAAAGTCTATACGTTGGTTTACTCCAAGATATTTAGTGCCTCATCGAAACAACGTTTTTAGACACCAGGTCTCCATGAATAAAATCGGTTTCAGTATATTTGGAGTCGATCTATCGATTTCCGTCCGTCCGTCTGGTTTGCTGGTGCCCACGATAACTCTCGAAGGGAGTATCGGATTTGATCCAAACTTGGTACATCGTAATGTTATTATCAAACTTAGAGTTCGAAGATGGGCAGTATCGGTCCATTCCTTCTGGAACCTCTCACACAAGTCAACATTTTCAAAGAAAATATTTTACTGCTTATAAAGAGGAATAATAGTCGGATTTTGCTCCAACTTTGCAAAATATATCACACATCCAAATATTTTTGTTAAAGCAGGATGAAGATGATATATATCTGCGAACACCTTCTGGTATCTAACCCACAAAGGGTCACAATTTTCAATACTTTTATATGTCATAACTTTCGAAACAAGTCTATTTCTCTCAACCAAAAATCTGAGATGAATATAGCATTTATGAATTCGCATAAAAATTGGATATAAATGTTCGATTTCCTTCAAATTTTGCACATACCAATATTTTTATCTGTATTAAATGAAGTGTGAAAATGGAATAACTCTGCCCGCTATATCTGGTACCTAACGGATATTTCCACATTTTCCAAGAATTTGCACATATTTCGTATAAAGTATTGGAAGTAGACGATTTAGTCCAAACCTGGCACGTTGTAATATTTATATCAGTCTTAGGTCAGATACGACTTGGTCAATATTGTCCAACTGCATCGGAAGGGTCAACAGTTTGAATAATTATTACTCAAAGCTGGGGGTATACATCTGTCGGCAAAACCGACTAATACAAAAACCTTGCTTTTCAAAACCGTTGAAGTAAACATGTGTCTGCGAATCGCTGTCGTTTCATACAACCGTATTTGCAAAATTAAAATCTTTCTCGAAGGAACGAATAACAACATTTGAAATATTTATTTATTAAAATTTATTTTAAAATAATTTTAATATTTGAATCTGAAAGTTTCAACTAAGTCATTCTACTACACATATCTTTTCTGGCGCATTACTCTCCTTGCAGGTGAATGAACTAATAAAATTTTAACATACACCACGCAACGACCATGTTGTTAACTTTACATCTAGGAAATTCAAAAACAACCCCCAAAATATAGGGTTTTACACAAATAACCATGAACTACTCTCACTCAATACGGTCTAAGGGTAACAATACGTATAAATAACTGTCCAAAATGGTTAGTTTGATTCGGAAATAGAACACAGTATGACATAAATTTAAGGGTTCAGATCAACGAATAAAATACCAATTGGAAAATGATAACATCGAACATGAGGGATGGGGAGGGGATGTTACTCTGACACTTGGAAGCCTACATGGCTAGGTGTTTAAAACATGTGGGTGTTTTCTTTTCCTGCTTCTTCTTCGAATTATTATATTGTGCGTTGAGTATTGAAAATAATAAATAAATATTACGCCATACTTCTTTCTTGGTGCTGCTAAATGGCAAAAAATGGCAATAAACAAAGAGAAAAATACCAACATTTTTTTTGGACTAAAAAAATTCTTGGCTTATAAATCACAAAAAGATATTCGTCGCACACAAAGAACTAACAACGCAAACTGTCCTAATAAAATAAAAAAAAATCATATACAATATAACATATGAGTATATATGCTTGGACATATGTAAATCAGCATATGTATGCGCAGATATTGGCCGGTATGGAAACAAATTTACATAAAACTCGTAAAACCAGTTCAACGACAAATTGAATTTAGCACTGGCGGCAGAGAAGCAAGAATTGTGGCAAAGAGAACAACAGAAGAAACAAAAAAAAAAAAAACAACTTAAGAAATAAACACTAAAAAAAATATACGTTAAAAAGTAAATTTTTCGTTTTGTGTTTGGGAAGAACGCGGAACAATAACAACAACGACGATAACTACAACTCTACATTTATGTCGTGCCTTAGCTGGCTGACTGAGTGAATCGTCGTTGTTTGGTTAAATACCCAACCGCCGCGGTGCGATTGTTGTTTGGCGGGGTATTGACCACGTTTTCCATGTTGCCATGAAGAATCAAGCAAGCCAGTAGTAACCAACAAACGACAACACTAGCTTTTTTCTTTGGTCAAGAGACACAACAGACTCTTGGCTTGGCGTCTATCTCGTTTGCATTTTGTGTGTGTGTGAGAGTGTGTGTATGTCTTTCACAGACATCAAAACTTGAAGATGTTCTCAAATGGAAATTTGTATCTTTTTCCTTTGCAAATAAATTTGTTACATTGATCAGGTTTTTTATACCCTCCACCATAGTATGGAGGGTATATTAAGTTTGTCATTCCGTTTGCAACACCTCGAAATATAGAAATTTAGACCCCACGAAGTATATATATATATTCTTGATCAGCATAAAATTCTATGTCGATTTAGCGATGTCAGTCCGACTCTCCGCCCGTACGTCTGTGGAAATAAGTCTAGCTTCCGAACGAAATGAAGTAGGTTGATAAAATTTTAGGAGTTTTGGTATTGAAAATGGGCCAGGTAGGTCCACGTTTTGGTATAGCCCCCATATGACGGTGCCTCCCTATTAGGCGACATTATTCACCGGAAATGTTTCAAATTTGATATTTTAAGTTCGAAATGGATGCTACAGCCTATGACAGAAAATTGTCTGTGAAGGTCCACGTCTTCGTATAGCCCTCATGTAATGGTACCTTCCTATTTTTGGGATTTTGGTTATTTAGGCTACATTATTCACCGGAAATTTTTCAAATTTAATATTTGGATACTACAGCCTAAGACAGAAAATTGTCTGTGGAGGTCCACGTTTTGGTATAGCCCCCATATAATGATACCTCCTGGTGTTCAGTATTTTTGATAAGTTTTGTAACGGATAATGCAGCCTATGACAGAAAATTGCTGTGCAGGTCCACGTCTACGGTACCTCCCGATATTCGATATTTTGATGATTTTAGCGAGATTATTCTCCGGAATT